TCAACATTAGCTTGGAAAATCTTAATTCTGTTTCTAATACCGACTATAATAGGTCTCTAGACTGATTTAAGATTAATAAGCGTCTATCTCAGCATTATATACTTCAATTAGTCCAAAACTAGCAACAGAAACTATGCAACAATTACTCTATAGTGATGAAAACATTAAAACGCAATGTTCAGCTTGGATAGAACTCATAAAATTATGCCTTAAAACATACTTCCAATTCAATACTCAAATATATGAGCAAATAAAGGGAACACCAATGGGATCATCGCCCATATCAGGATTAATAGCTGAAGCCGTTATGCAAAGATTAGAATTAATAGCTCTACCTATAATTCACCCGAAAATCTAGGTACGTTACGTTAATGATACATTTGTAATAATTAAGAGAAATGATTTAGAATATACCCATAAATTAATAAACAACATATTTGAAGACATCAAATTCACCACAAGAGAAGAAGAATTAGATAACAAAATCCCATTTTAAGATGTCTTAATCAGGAGAACCAACACAGGAAATTTAGAAACACAACACACACAGATCAAATACTCAACTATACTAGCAACAATCCAATTATTCACAATAGAAACTGTGTGCAGATATTGTTTGGAAGAGTTCAGACATATTGTAGCACACCCCAGATTTGAAAAGAATGGAAGAAAAATACTTACAAACGGTGTTCAAGAAAAATGGTTATCCAAAAAATTTCATCAAAAAGTGTTTAAAGTCGAATCAAAGCACCAACAAAGAACCGTCACCAAAGACCAAAAAGAAATTCATCCTACCATACATGAGAAATATCTCTGAAATAACAGCTAGAATATTGAAACCGTTTGATATAGATGTAGCACACAAACCAGTCAAATCGCTTAATTCAATATTATGCAAACCAAAAGACTCATCCAACAGAAAAAGGAGATAAAATTAACACCATTTACAAAATAAATTGTATGAGCTGTAACAGGCATTACATCGGCCAAAGTTGGCGTCCTTTTCGAATAAGAATCCAAAAACACAAATCAGCCATGAAAAGACACGATATATACTCTTTAGTATCAATGCATATAGACAATTATGGACATCAATTTGATAACTGGGATAATGTCAAAATCTTAGACAGAGGAAACACCAAAAGTGTAGTCAGGGAATTCCTAGAAGTCTGCTACTCAAACAAATATGCAATTAACAAACACGTTAATATAGACGAAATATACCAACTATAATAAAAAGCAAATCAGGTGACCAGAAAGTTTAAAATCCCAATCAATAGAAAACGGTCAATACACATATGTAAAGATGTTTGGTCTCCAGGAGACGCAATTGTATCATCATTCATGGAGATTTTTAAATCATTTAACTTTATGCTAAATACTACGCTGAAGATTTCGTCCAGAAGGGGGACGACGAAAGCTCCGCAACTAAACCTGCTCCTGCTCAGAGAACACTATTAATTGCAAATCTATCTTCTGTATATTCACTTGAAGTCCTGTCTCCATCCACTGTCTCCTTCCTCTGACAACTTTTTGGTTTTCATGTGTAGATTTTGAAGTCTATGTGACATTGGAAGTCTAAATCTCTTCTAAAGCCTTATTTTTCTACCTTCTTGCTACCTCTAACAGGAACATACATTTTTTTTCTCATTAGACTTAATAAAATAACATCTAGGTGAAAATAATAATTAGTTTTCTGTTTTTTCACAATTTTAATCCGGATTATTCTTCTTCTTATTATTATTATTTAATTTTAACATGTTAGCATTATTTTCTTTACGTGAATTAGACATCCAACATAATTAATACTACTAAATTATTTCGTGTTAAGAGAACCTAGCGAGAAAAGAAGCGTTACCTGCTTTAAGTTTTCTATTTATTGGGTCTGAATAAACAGGTACATCTGTAACAATGAAGAGATTTAAGAGTTGAGAATATATATTAACCATTATGACTGAGTTCTTCCACCCGTTGACTTATAATCTTAATCAAAAACTGCAATTTTGCATGCAAATCCATCAAGCTACCATATCCATGTTGATTTTCTCATTTCATGGGGGCGGGAAAGGGTGTTGAAACCAGGTCAAATTCCGTTTTAGTCCATCATTCAGACTATTTAGACAATTTGGATCCCATTTGATGATATGAAGTGCTTTCAGACTGATATGAGACGTTCTTTATGCTTTCTGAAGTGCTTTTTCTGGATGATGATTTTTAATATTGTCAAAATCAATTTTGTGACCTGATTCTATAGCGTGTAGACAGATCTATGGATGATGACTTTTCAAGGTTTTGTAGTCCACTAACTGGATTTCTTGGTAGTAGAACAAAGTCACGTCTAGTGTGTTCATTTCTTCTGATTTTGACTTCTTTCTAGCGATGTTTGTTCGATGTATATCGCATCACATTCCAAGCAAGCATTTTATTTTATAGACACAATTAGATAGAGAATCTTTCGGGATTTGGTCTTTTACATGTACAAGGTTGCTTTGCAGCGTTCGTGTCTGATGTTTTGAAGAAAACTCTAATGTCGAGCTGATTGTGAGTACTCTTCTGATATCGTTTGACAACTCTGCTCTATATGGAATGACAATTGTTGAGGCCTATGTTTTCAGAATACGCGTTTTCGGCCATCCTTAATGTCAGTGTTGATTTTGTTGATGAAGTTATTTGGGTAGTTGTTTTGCTTGAGAGTTTCAGTAATGTCTGATATTTCTCCTTCATTTTCCTTCTCATGCGTTAGTATCGAACGGTGTGCTCGTCTAAGAAGACTTGAAACAACTGAAATCTTTGTGCTGATGAGGTGTGATGATCAAGAGTCAAGTTATTTGTTGGATTGGGTTTTCCTCCTGAATGTGGATACACTAAAATGTCCCTTTTTCCCTCCTCTTAACTAGATAGTCTACAAATGATAGTTCACTGACGTCTGATTCTGCTTCCGAAGTTAACTGGATTCTGCAATAATGAACACCGTAGATCTCGTTTTAGCACTATACAAAATATCATCTACATATCTTAACCATATATATTTTAAGAGTGAGTATGCTTCAAAATATGTTATCTTCAAATCTATTCGTGAAAAAGTAAGCGACTATTGGAGGAAGCGGTGAACCCATAGCAACACCATTTGTCTGTCAATATAAATTCCCTTTAAATGTAAAATAATTATTTTCTAGACAGAATTTTGAAGCTCTTAAAAATTTCACTGGTTTCCAGTGACAGCATCTTTGTGACAGCTTTGTATCTGATTCTAGTGGACTGGAAATGATTACATGACTTTTGGTAATAGAGATACTAGTGTAAAAACAGAAGACAAGGGTCAGGCAATAGATCGTTTATTATGGAAATCAACACATATTTTTTATAGATTTTCATGTACATTATTATAGATTATTGTTAGCAGAAAAACACAGTCTTCTGATTAGTGGTTGTTTCTCACAGAAAGTTAATCTTTCATCCTTTTGTGACTGTTTCTTGAATGTCAGTCAGATCATCAACATGTTAACTGTATCCTGTATTAAATCTACAATGCACCTGATCTATCTTAACACGAAATGTACAATTTTTGGTTTTTTTGGTTTTCTTAACTGTTTTACTTTTTCCCTTAACCTCCTATTAAGTCTCTACTCCTTATTACCACTGTTAGCAACTTGACCATTGTTCAATTTTAGTTGAATTAGACTCAACCCCGTGTTAGTTGAATCAGGTCATTCCTACTCGGTTATCGATTTCTACGTTATGTTGTTTGTTATCTGAAATTTACAATTCTGATGATAAATCTTTGGAAATATTCATTTTGTTGCGAAGAAATTTTACTGTACATGTATCTATGCAGTTGTATACAGCTTGATATGATATTTTCAGAAGTGGTAACTCTGTAGAACGCCTTTTCTCTTTTACATTGTTACGAAAATCCCCGTTTAGACATTTGGAAGACGAAGAAAGTTTGAGCAAACAATATTCTATTCGATAACTTCCTCTTGCATATACACATAATAGCTAGAGAATAACTTTTATTGTTATGGCATAACTGTAGAACCCTAATGAGGGAGTTGTCGATGGGAATATTCTTTGCTCAGTACTTTATTTTCTTCTCCTTAAGGTCTAATATTAATTCAAAAAAAAGGGTGCTGCAATGATGAATCTCTACGACACTAGTGACTGCATTGCAAACTTAACTGACAGGATTCAGTTGGCATGACACTTACACTGTCGATTATATGAATGACTCTGATTAATTACAGCCTAATTACAAGTAAAATGTGATATGATAAAAGCATATCGGAATAATTTTATAGGCCTGAACATCTGTATTTAATTGGTGGAGGGTGACTAGCAGTGGAATCCAGGATGCGTTTTTCATCCTATTTGGGACTCGTCATCTGGATATACCTGCATTTCTCAGTGAATGATGATGTTCCCAACGAGGCTCTAACCCAGTGCGCATAGTTTCAAACGCCAATACATTATCCACTAGACCACTTGGACCACTAGAGACACCGCTTGTGCAACGGGTCATATTAATTTTAATTGAATATGAGATTTTCCCTTCGATTAATTGGACCGAAGTGCTCAGATTGACATGTCGGCTTCTTGTGCAGATGCTTCAACGATGTCTGGGCATTTAATTAGTATTTAATTGGTGGGTGGCGACTAGCAGTGAAATCCAGGATTGGCATTTCGTCCTATTTGCGACTTAAAGCCGACATGTCAACTTGAGACCTAGGACTTCGGTTCAATCAATCGACGGGAAAATCTCAAATTCAAGTGAAAATTGAACATCTGTCCCTTTATCTTTGACTAGAAGAAATTTTGTCTTCTTGTGGTATACTATTAGCAGATAAGTACATGCTTTGTGCGATAATCATGTAAAAAGGATTTCAGAGGTGCAAGAAAATGCTTATTCAACTAAAGCGTTTCTTTATTTTTTTTTTCAAAATGATGTTTTAGGGACCTTTTCTAACAAAAATTCTTTTCTTTTTGTCTTTAATTTCATGTAGTCTGGATCCAATCAATGAAGATACTGAAATTGACCGATCCATGTTCGACAGAGGTGAGACTGTTAAAATGAAAAACTACTTAATTAATTTTTATACATTTAATTCCCTTGATAAATTTCGATAAAGAAAGAAAGATGAAATTTACAGTAGTATAAAATGATATCGTCATTCTATTTCACAGGTTCTCATCAGCTGCGTATCATTGCCTGAAATTACAATGGTTATATAGATGATAATAACATACTTTAATGTTTGAGGGGTGGTAGAAAAGAGATACTATAAAATTGACGCATCTAAATGAAACCATTACAATGTTTTTAGTTTAAGATTTCATCATCAATTTATACGCTTTTAAAGTTGAAAAGAGGGGGAGGGGTAAGACAGAAAACAGAAAAAATTGATTAACAGAACAGTGTTAGCTTGTAGGTTCACATAGGAACTCAAAAAAAACAAAACCAAAAGCGGTTACACTTTACGAGATTAAGATTTGTTCAGTGAGTTGAGATCACTGAATTAGATGGCTAATTAGTGTAATCATAATTAAAATTCAGTTACTATGGAAGTGAGATAATGATGATGAAAACTTAAACTAAAAATTGTAATACTCACAGTTTGGGTGCTTTAATTGTACAGTATCTCTTTTCTACTACCACTCAAACACTAAAGTATGTTATTATCATCATCTATAAAACCATTGTAATTTCAGGTAGCCTGCAGCAGCTGATGAGAACTTGTGAAATAGAATGACGACATTATTTTTTACTACTGCAAATTTCGTCTTCCTTTTATTATCGAAATTAATTTTTTAATTTCCAATGTTTGTATCTTGTCGATGATGAGTATTCGATGCAATCAGACTATAGCAAAACCATTCAATGCCAGTTGTGTATGCAGCGTACAGCGTATGATGTTTGCGCTAATCTGTATAGCTGACCTAGAACCTTAGTGGAAATCAGATTTTAAAAAAAAATAAGAGAGTTAATATTATTGACAGTGTCAGAAACTTTATCAACAATTTACTTTGGTTAAAAATAAATTTCTGCGTTTCCGCAAAAATCAATGAATTACAAAGTCTTTATCTGTTGTGCATGTCGAACTGTTTGGGACTCACTGAGACTTGAACCATGCACCCATTGTCTACTGAATCTTTGAGACACGAGAACCACCTCTTAACTGACAATTGTCAGTTATTATTTATCTGAGTCAATTTTATTCTGGCGCTTGATTCAGCATATGTTGTTGACACGCCAGTCCTCAGTATGGATGGTTCGACGATATCTGACGATGTAGACGACGTCATTCGACAAGTCGTAACGAAGTGAGCACATTTTGGAATCCATTGAATGAAATCATGTGAGTAGTCAGATATCTTCAAAGCATCCGTACCAGTAGCTGACTTACCAACTGATGCCATAACGTCTAAGTCCAGTCAGTCAACCAGTAAAAACAAAAGACTGGAAATTCAGCATATGATCAAAGTATGCATCATCTAAGGGACGAGGATATCAAATCCAGAATCGGAAAAGCAAGACAGGCTTTCAATACCCTTAAGTCTGTGTGGAGGTCAACAGCATTCAGCGCCAAAAATAAGATCCGGATATTCAACTCCAATTTGAAGTCAGTGCTACTATATGGATCAGAGACTTGGTGCGTCATAAAGAGCATCTAAAACAAACTTCATACCTTCATTAACAGTTGTCTTCGCTCAATACTCAAGATCAGATGGCCAGCCAGAAAAGATCAGGAACAGCGAGGGATCTCTGGGTGCGAACCAACCCAACAGGAACCAATTGTGAAACAAATAGGCAGAAAGAAATGAAGATGGATTGGCCGGCCATACTCTGAGGAAACCATCAAGTGACATCACTAGACAAGCCATCGCTCGAGTGGAACCCGAAAGGAAAGCAGCGAGTTGGTCGTCAGTGCGAGGGTGGGGTGACCTGGAGGAGGTCATGTGAAGAAAAGATGAAAGTGTGTGGGCAGACTTGCAGCCAGGTAAAAACTCTAGCAGAAAACCGAAGAAAATGGAGACGCGCAGCTTGAAGCCTTATATTCCTTTAGGAATTAAAGGGTATAATAATAACAATAATAATAAGGCACTATCTACGAATATCTAACTTCAGAAACATCCTTACTGTACAACAGAACAGTGTTATTTGCTGTTCATATGTTTAGTGATCAGATTGAGAACTTAGCTCATATATTTTGATGAAGTCATATAAAGCTGAACAAATACACTAGGTTGCCATCTACAACTGTATTCATGAAAATACGATATGTCTCTTTCTATTTCACGTTTTATGAGATGTGACATATATATATATATATTTGAAACTAGAGAACACAAAGTTCAGAAAACATGTTGATCTTTTCAACGATTTTATTTTCAAAAGCCATACAATCGCATTTAAATACATAATTTTTACATGGATACAAACTGTAAACAGTTTGCGTTATACAAAATATGAGCATGGAAACAAAGTGAAATAATAATAATTTTCAACTTGAGATGGAAGTTAGGAGATGTAAATATAGATTTCAAGGACTTTAGAAACAAAAAAAATTACGCAAGATTAAGATATAATTGTAAAAAAGTTATTTTAAACGAATTATAAATGTGAGTAGGAAGAGCATGGAAACAAACTTTAAAAATAACTGCTCTTATAACTGGAAAAAAATGGGATGAATTGAATGAAGGCAGAGGGAATAAGAATCACACACACACACACAGCGAACGAAAAAACGGTGACTAAAGGAACATATTGAACTAGGACCATAGTAGTTGTAGAGGTTGAACTAATTTCTTTTGAACACACAGCTCCGGCTTTTCAATGCATATTGGAAGGGCTTCTGCAGTACAGAGAAGTTGGAAACACACTGCTTTTGGTATATTTCTGTTGACTTTCTACATGACTTTGAATGAATCAGTTGAGATGTTGTGGGTGGTGTTGATCAGATATTCAATAATGGCACTTCTGATTGAACCGGTGCCTCCTTTTTTCAACCATCCTGGGTAGTGTTCTCTAACCCGTTTTGAAAGGACGCGCATACAACGATCCAATGTACCTAGCTCCGCACGAACAGGTGAACTGGTATATGCACATTCAGTTGGTCATATGCGAAAGTTTGTCCTTAGCGTTGTTTCGATGTACAGGACAGCTAGAGAATGTCACTCTTAGTGTTGCTTCAGGGAAGGTCTTCTTTGAAGAGGTGGATATTCTTCTGTTTAAAATATCAGCTGCCAAATCACCCCTGAAATTCAGGTTCATTTACAGAGTTTTCTTCGGCGATGAAGACGTATATATGTATATATATATTTGATTGATTCAAAATCAGAGAAGAATGTAGTAAGGCTAGAAGTACACTGTCTTCGACCAAACCGTCGATGTATATAAGAAAAGTATGATATCGTCGCCGATTGAATCTAGTAGGTCAGTTGTTTCGGTGGTGTATACTACTGATTCATTGATGAGTAGTTTCACACCTCTGATATTAATTGCTGACGCATACTAGTCAACCAGATTCAAGTGGTCAAAATACCTGACGGCTGTTTCACCTGTCTTTTAAGCCGAGCTTATCAGAACTCTGCTCTGATGATTACAGCTGAGAGAGTGACGAATTTCGAATAGCTGCATAGATGAACTGGTAATAGACTGTAAATTGTAAATCCAGAAGCCGGACTAATAGTTTGCATGTTGCTGATTCTCATCCTGTTGTGATCCAAATTTTCATCCAGCCTCTCAATCATAATGTACTAAAGCACAAAACGACTAAGCATAATACTCTATTATTATTATTGTTCCCTTGGGTTTCTAGTGGAACAGAGCGCTTCAACTGCACGTCTCCAATTGCTTCTATCTCTTTCTGTACTTTTCACCTGCATCCATGTTAGTACATACTCTTTCAACTCCACTTCTCACCATCTCCTCCATGTCACCCCTGCACTGACGACCAACTCGCCACTTCCATTTTGGCCTGGTTCCATTCGACAAAAGGGCGTGACGCGCGCGTGATGACACCCAGCCACTTCCTCAGCGAGTGTCCAGTCCATCTCCACTTTCTCCTGCATATTTGTTGGGCGGCGATTGGTTCTTGTTTTGTCTGTTCCGATTGTTTCTTGTTGGTGATTCTTTCCGGCCATCTGATGATCTTCAGTATAGAGCGAAGACAGTTGTTGATGAAGGTCTGATATGATTATGAACAATAAATTGTGTTCGAAACGTCATCCAGGATACAATACTGTTTCACTGTGTGATACATTTAATAATCAAACTAATATGGAATTACTTAATACCACAGTGCCCAAGTTTTACACATACTGTAACAGGCTGTTGGAAATATTCTTTGTGACCCACCCGCCAAGTTTCTGATCCATATAGAAGAACTGACTTGACATGTTTTTATTGAGAATCCAAATTTTTGTTGTTGATGCTGAGTGACGAAGGTTTCCAGATTGGTTTCAGTTGGTTGATGAATGTGTTTCTCGCTCGCCTTCCCGATTCTCACTCGATTTGACATCCTCGTCCGTTCCCACTTCCTGTAGTTGAGACAATATTCAATGCTAGATAAGTGAAGTGAATGAAGTAACCTCTTTCACATCCCTCCCATTGATGGTGATTGGCGCTGAATGTTGTTGCTTTTGTTGTTTCCGGTCTATTATTTTCATAACCTCCATCTTGTCTATGTTAGCCTGGATTCCTGTCTTCGCCGGCTGCTTCTTCTACCAGTTTGTCAGTCGGTTTGCGCTTGTAAGTCCTCGATTTTCGTGACAGTGACATCAAACATAAAGCATCCACGCGCGAAATCCAGGTCTTCTAGGTTCCTCATATCGGTCCAGGATATCCCTGTCTGCTTGTTTCCCTCTGTTTAATGCATAATCCAGTTCACCACGATTAAGAATATCATTGGTGATCATAAGCACTCTTGTTGTCTGACTCCTGTGTTTACTCCAAACACCTCTATTGACAGTATTTTTATTGACAAATTCACCTGTAAGTCTTCGAATTTACTAGCAAGATCGAAGCCATAAATAAAATTTATCACTCTTATTATTATCATTTCTCTTTTTTGTTTACACTGATCAAAAACATATATAGATGAGAAATGTAAAGCCAATGATACTGAAAATAATCAACCTGGAGATGAAACTAATGACAACAATGAACATTTAGATGAAAATGATGATAAAGATGCAAAAGATGCCTCAAATTCTCGACGTCATTCAGAGATGAGTTCAACAAAGAAAATAAAACCAATACCGAATGCATCTTCATTTTTTATCTTTAGTCCAACTAATCCGTAAGTAGTGAAATTCACTCTTTGACTCTTGAGTGATTGATTGATTGATTGGTTGATTGATTTATTGATTACTACTGATGTTATGTTGATGAAATGTTCTTAGTAATCTCTTCTTCATTGTGAATGTCATCTCATAGCACAAGGTGTTAGATACGAAGCTATGTCCTTATTCATCATTATCGGTCACCACATGTATTCTGTTCTTAAAATGGACATTTGATAGTCTCTTTTAGGAATACACCAGATCGATAAAAGACTCCAGGAGATATGGATTTCGTAGATGACTTATATTTAATATCACACATAAACTCGAAGACATACAGGCGGAAACCTACAAGCTGGCTCAAGAAGCAAAGCAGGTGGCGAAGACAGGACTCCAGGTGAAAATAAATAATAATAATAAATAAAACCTCCACTGTGCATCACAAAAAGCATTCCCAACAAGTTACAAACTGCTATCAACAGCTGCCTTCTCTTGCTGCATACTGAAGATCGGATGAACAGCAAAGAAGAATTATCAACAAGAAACTCTGAAATGGTATGAATCAACCAAGGGCTGATTGCGCAACAAATATGTGGGAGAAGGTGGAGATGGATTGAGCATACATTGAGGAGGCCGCTGAATAACATCGCGAGCAATGCAGGCCATTGATCGAGTAGAATTCTAATGGGAAGTGACGAATGGGCTGTCGCTGCTAGAGTGACTTGCAGGATATCGTTTGAGGAGGAGATGATAGATTATGGGCAATTGTGGCCACAAATGAAGAGGCCCATGAAGAACAGAACAATGTGGAAATGTTTTGTTGAAGCCCTATGCTCAACTTGTAATCCAAGGGAATAATAATAAGAATAAGAATAATAGTCTGTCTTAAATAAGGTTTTGATTACATAACCTGCTGAAGAGAATATACAGAGAGTAATAAAGGGGAATAGTTAGCTTTAATCCTCTTATCACTTCTATCTCAAAACAATTAATATGCAATTCTAAATTATATGTTACTTGGTAAGCGTTCGCTAGCAAGGAATTTCATGAACTCGTTAGCTAGACTTACCTACCTGCATTCTTATTGAGTGACAGTGTACCGACTAGGATTAGAACCTAACACCTATCGCTTAAAATGCCAATTTTCTAATCGACTAGGCTAATACGCTATGATAGTCACCTCTTTGTCGAAATTGTTTTGAATTCCTTACTGACTGATTACAGAATATGCACATTGGATCATAGGGATTATTAAAAAGACGGTTGCAGCGAAGAAAATTTTCTTTTTGACGAAATCATCAACTAGGGGCTGTACCTTTTGTGTATTTATAATAAATGGGTAGGAAAGTTCCAGAATATTTCCTGGTCAAGGGTCAGATTAATAGAATTACAATTAGGAATTAAAATGCTGTAATAAAACAGGAGGACGAATAAAACTAAAACAAAGTAGCATCATAATTGCTGAGAAGATTGACATGTTGTGCAATTAGGGGTTAGGTTTGTAGAAATAACAACAATAGACAGGATGTTTGGATAAAAAACTTAATATGATGAATAATTGTTTATGCAATCAGGTATAAAATATGTAGAAATAATAAAATGACAAAATAAACAGGAAATTCGGATAAGAAAGGTAATGGGATGGTCATTACTAAAAGAATTACCTGTTTAATGATGGCCACGGCTAGGACTAGGGTTGGACGTTTTTCTTTCGGATGCAAAGGATGGGTTTGAGCTTTTGGATGCCTAATGTCTCGGCTATGCCCAGATGTCTTGCTTTCACTCGGTTTGATAGGTTTGATCGAATCTTGTATATTATTTTGAAGGATTTTTCGAAGGGCACTGAATGTCCTGAATTGACTAAGTGTTCTGTCACTGAACTATATACACGTTTTCGACCTCCTTTTAGTAGCCAGGCTAGATAGTGTTCACGAGTGCGTTTTTTAAGTTGGCGCATAGTACAGCCGGTGTACTCAGCTCCGCAAGAGCAAGTAAACTGGTATATGCACGTTGAAGTGGCCCAATGTGACAGCTTGTCTTTCGCGTTCTGGCTGAACAGTTTCTCGCAGGAAAACGTCAGTCGTAGGCTCACGGCGGAGTATGTTTTCCTCAGAGATTTGGAAAGGCGTTTACGAAGGATTTCCGCTTCAATGTCACCTTTGAATTCTAGATTAAGCAGAAGTATTTTCTTGATTGATTGATTGATTAATTATATGAGTTTAAAAATGTCTCCATATTTAATCCAACTTTTAAAATAAACAGGCAAATAAACAGGTGCTTTTAATATAGTGAGTTTTTCCCAAACAGCAAATAGTTTTATTAGTTCTTTTCTTTTTATTCACTTGAGCATCACATCTTCAACTTATATACGTGTATGTCTGTTAGTGTAGGAGTTTGATTGTAGCAATATAAATAACTGTGAGAGGCAGAATTATACATATATTCATATTTAAAGTCACATGTGAATAGGCGGAGTAAGCACTGGCAGACTTTATCCATCCAATATATATATATATACATAAATGAAAATTAACCACATGATTTCATAAACTCAGTCAGTTACAAGGAAATAAAGTTATCGGTAAGTAAGTGTATCTACCTTTAGGGCATACATTTCAATATCCTATTGGATTTTTGAAGACAATTCATTTTTTCAGGTGAACGGCTTATGTGATGCAGATTATTATTATTATTGTTCCCTTGGGTTCCTAGTGGAACATACGGCTTCAACTGCACGTCTCCACTTGCCACTTCTGTCTTCCTTCTGCTGTACTTTTCACCTGCATCCATCCATGTTAGTCCATACTCTTTCAACTCCTCTTTCTTCACACCATCTCCTCCATGTCACCCTCAACGTGACGTCCCACTCGCCACTTCCCTTTCGGCCTGGTTCCACTCGAGTGATGGCCTGACGCGCGCGTGATGTCACTCAGCGACGGCCTCCTCAACCGCGAATGTCCAATCCATCCATCTCCACTTTCTCCTGCATATTTGTTGGGCGGCGATTGATTCTTGCTTTGCTTGTTTGTTCCCATAGTTTCTTGTTGGTGATTCTTTCCGGCCCGCCCGGCCATCTGATCTTCACTGTAGAGCCAGCGAAGACAGTTGTTGGTTGATGAAGGTTTGCATGGAACAGGCTGTTGGAAATATTCTTTGTGACCCCCCCCCGCCAAGTTTTTGATCCGTATAGAAAGCAGAACTGACTGACTTGACGTGATTTGTAATGAAAGTCCGACCGAATTTTGTTGTTGATGTTGCCTGAGTGACGAAGATTTTTGCGGATTGGTTTCAGTTGGTTGATGAATGTGTTTCTCGCCTTCCCGGTGATTCTCGCTCGATTTGACACCCTCGTCCGTTCCGACTGGCTATAGTTGATACAAAATGATGAAGATAATAATAATAGTTGTTATTATTGCTTTATTTTGTATAATGTGTTTATATACGGTAAAAAAGTATTGCCATCACGTTCTATTGAAAAATATTCATTCTTTGGACAGCATCTTTAGGTAGAATAATTATCGACAGTAATATCATGTGTCTCAGTCTCTTTTCGTTTAGAGCCACGATTTAATCATCTGCTAGAGTCTGCCTACTCCACTTTGGCAGAATACATGCCAGTGGATTGGAGACTATGTATAAATGTGAATAAGTAAGCGTTACGACTCACCAGGGATTAAGTGGTGGTACACCCCACCGCACCCCAACTATGGTAGTGCTCTGGCTTGGCATGCAGACAGTACTGGGATAGATGCCCAGATATTCTAACTCATATTGTAACAACAGAAGACAAGGGGCAGTCAGGCAACAGATCGTTTATTAAGAAAATCAACACATATTTACAGATTTTATTGTACATTAATTATAGATTAGTGTTAGCAGAAAAACACAGTCTTTTGATTGGTTGTTTCTCACTGAAAGTTAACCTACCATCTCATTGTAGCTGTTTCCTGCATGTCAGACCATCTATATGCTAACTGTATCCGCCTACGCAAAGTCTGCTGTAGCTGGTTGTTGAATTAGTCTTTGTTCTTATTTTTCTCACGACCAATATTGGGGACGTAAATTACTGTCTACCGATTGAGCTAGCAGCCAGCTCTAACCACAATATTATCTTGGCGCAGCAGCGGTTCAGAAGTAGCGTCCTCACCTACCCTACATGTTACCGACGTTCAGTTCTCGGCGAATGCATTTCTTAACCTGGTTAAGCTGCTACTTACCCGGAAAAGAGCTGAGAGGGTGGGGGGTTAGACGTCAGTCAGGCTAGTATTGCTATCGCATAAAATGGAACACCACTGTCAATGAAACATCATATCTTAAGTTTGAAGCTGTATATCCCAGCCGGAAAGCTAGGGAATGAAAAAAGACGGGTCACGATTAGAGGAAGTAATTGGTTTATTGAAGTAACAATGAAATGTTTGTCTAATTAATGCACTATTCTGGATGGAAAACAGAATAAAATATTACCAAGTGTTAGTTTGTAGGGATTTGATTGTCTGTAGGATTAATCACCATATGACATCACTTAGAGAACCACGAGAAAACCAACTCAGGGAGTAATGGACACCTGTTTCGCCTTAGTTTGCAACTGTTCAGCTGTGATGAAAATAATAAAACAGCAGAAACTGAAGCCAATGGGAAAATCTCATGTGTTATAATGGTGTTACGAACAAGTTGCTATTTATCTGCACCCACGCTAAAAATGGAATGGTTGAACTTTTGCATTTAGCCTTACAAGGCTAAATTCTTACGAAATTTCTTCTGGTTCTACCCGAAGAGATAAAGGGGGGACAGATAAAAATAAAGAGGATGTTCACTATTCGACGAAATTACTTGCAAGAATTAAAATGTTATTTAGTTGAAGTCGGTTGGTTGATTGTGACTAGCAGTGGAATCCAGGATGTGCATTTGGTCCAATTCGAGACTCATCACTAGGTGTGCCTACATTCACCTGTGAGTCATGATGTTCCTGCCGAGGTTCAAATCCAGAGCCCTTACTTTCATACTCAAAAGCGTTTTCCCACTAGGCTACAAGAGCCAGGTACATCCAGTGACGAGTCCCTAATCGGACGAAATTTACATCCTGAATTCCACTGCTAGTCACCATATACCAACTGACTTCAGGTTACATGACCAGTCATCGTTGAAGCATCTGCATACAGAGCGGCGGATATGTCAACCTGAGACCGAGTACTTAGGCCCAATTAGTCGACGGGAAAAATCTAAATTGAATTAAATAAGCGACAGTCAGTTGATTTAAAGCTACACCACTAACCCTGCTTACCACCTTCAAAGCCCTATGCAATATAATACAGTCCTTTTTGAGAAGCCAAGAGAAGGTTAACGGAGAACAATAAAGAAGGATAGATGGAATACATGCATTAATAAGTTGTAAGCAGAGAGGTTGAGTTAAGCCAGATATTTTTAACTTCGCCACATAATAAGCCGAAACGAATGATTTTCCTAGACATCAACAAGATTTGAGACGACCAAGAAACCTTAAAGTAGAGACAGACAACACAACAAGTAATATTCGATTTATTTTCTACTACATTGTTGTAGATATTACAAGGATCACAGGACTGAATCAGTTCACGCAAGTCTTCTTCACACCGACCATTGGTTAATCGCATAATAATTGTAACTCATTCAAACTTCAAAATACCTTACATTATGCTTTTTAATTTTCTAATTGTTTGTTTTCTTGCCGTTATTTATTTAATTTTTTTCTTTTTGTTACAATTCTTTCCCAAAAATCAGATTTCGTGTAGCCTGTCATGAAGTTTGCAATCATAATTATTTTAATAACATTGTCCTTGTATGCATATTGGTCAGTAGTGCTATGCTTGCAGCCGAAGATCCGTTAGACGCTTCATCTGCGCGTAATCAGGTAAGTCCAGTGAATGAAGTCATCATTTAAATATATACATATATATAGATTTATTGACATGACTAATACATTTAAGGTGATATTATAGAGCAAAATCAATTTCGATGGTTATGTACTTTTAGCATCGTGAATTTTCAGAAGTGGAATGATGTAAGCTGTGGCTGGTCTTGTGACTTTATGGTTTGAGATGGCTCTCACCCTGAAAGAGGCTGGTGTTCCGTGACTGTTTCTCTTTTCTTTTTGAAAACGCTTCCCGAGTGATGTTATTTTGTGATGAAGTTTATCCTAAAATATCCGTCAAATGTTGTTTGTTTAACTGAATTGGATCCTCGAAATAGTATTCTTCTGCAGAAACTGCTTCACAGTTCAGGCTGTCGGACTCCATAAAAGCTCACATAAAGATAAAGCAATCGAAATATATCAAACCACAGAATAAACGCGGGAATAATTCGTTAACTGAAAAATAATGTTTTTGAAGTGATTGTGTTCTCTGAACTGGATAGCTAATTTGCTAAGCTCTCATCGCACTACTAACTAGGCGACATCTTCAGCGCATACTTCAATCTGTTGAAATGAGCTTTTAGATTTCTCCAAGAGTTTATTAGTCTTCTCTCCTGGTGGGTGACCTTGAGCGTGATTAGTTGTTTTTGTATGTTTTTACACCTTCCACGCTACTTGTATTGGAACTGATTGTTTCTTTGACTTGAACTTTGCTCCTCTGTGTGTGTGAGGTTTCTTTCTTATCGGTTGATAAATTATTTTGTCTATCTCGATGTGTCTATTGATTGATGGTTCACTGGAATACCAGACTGGCTTCTAAAAATTCTCTAGCATTCTTGTTGTTTCCTCTGTCTAATATTTGAACGCTGGCTGACCCAGTAGAATTGATGTCCATGGTTGTCTCTCTGTATGGAGTGAGTGATATGAGCGAGGGAGTGGATATCATGTCTTCTGACGGCTAGTTTATGTTCGTGGATACGAAGACGAAGGGGACGTCCACTTTGGTCAATGCATTTTTTTTTCTCAGTTGTTACAATTTATTTTGGAGATAATGTTGGTTTTATCTTTTTTCGTTTTGGAGTCGTTTGGTTGACATAGAACGACGTCAATTCCTGAAGGTTTGAAGAGTCTTGCGTTGATTTCTGAGATATCCTTTGTATATGGTAACGCGATTTTCTTTGTGCTTTCCTTCGGGGATTTTGTTTTGATAGTTTGGCTTGGGGGTATATGACTTTTGATGAAATTCCGTGGATATCCATTCTTTTGGAAAATGTCCATATCAAAGAAACAATCAATTCCAATACAAGTAAACCACAAGGTGTGAAAACACAAAAACAAAACCAATCGCGTCCAAGGTCACCCACCGGGAGAGATGACTAATAAACTCTTGAAGAAATCTAAAAGCTCACTTCATCGAATTGAAGTATGCGCCAAAGATGTTGCCTAGTGCTGGGGCGATGAAAGCTTCGAAAATTAACTATCCACCAGTTCAGAGAACACAACCACATCAAAATTATCTACCTGAGCTACAAATCTTCTCTATCATATCTGAAAAACAATGGGATGAACAGAAGTCAACGTACTAGTGTCATTTAGAACCATTTGACCTATGTCACAAACAATCTGCAAACTTGGATACTTAATAAATTAGTAAATGATGACTATCGATGAAGTCCAGGAGGACACACATTTTGTCTTATTTGGGACCCGTCATCTGGTAGGTATACCTGCATTCTCTAGTCAATAATGGTGTGTCCCACCGAGGCTCGAACCCAGTACCCACGGTGAGAACACTATCACTCACCGGAGAATGCATGGACATCTGTCAGATGCCGGATCCCAAACAGGACGAAATGCGCGTCGTCCTGGATTCCACTGGTAATCACCATCACCAATTTACTTCAGTTTAACTAATCAGACATCGCTAAAGCATCTATTATAGAGCCGAAATGTCAACCTGGGGCTGAGCACTTTGGTCCAATCAATCAATGGAAAAGCTCAAAGAGAATTCAATATTTGATACGTAGCACCTTAAATAGCCTATACAGACAGTATATATCTCATTAAATGATTGAAACCTACAGATAGAGATTTCATAGGTCATAGCTATGTTGCACAGAACCACACACACACACGCACGTACACATCAGGAAACTACGATAAAATTCTGGAAGTTTGTTGCACTTTCACCAAAAAGAGGCTGAAAAAAGCTAAATAATGAATACTTCTGATTGACAGAAGCAGTTGAAAACCAGGGAGACCAGGGAGAACCACTGGTGATATACACCATCTTGATACATTCTTTGTTTTCTGTATTTCAGCCTGTAATATCCAACAAATCAGATATAGCTGTGTGAACATCCGGAGGTTCCGAATGGAACACAGGGATTTGACATCCTATTGCATGGCGGCTTTAGTTGAAACGATGAATGAAATTTTCCCCGTCGATAACGATCAATGCTTGTTGTTGTTCATCAGTTGTCTTCATCACCTCCATCTTCTCTATATTCACCTGCAGTCCTGTCTTCGCTGCCGGCTTCTTCTACCAGTATTTTTGCTTTTCGCCTCTAAGTCTTCGAGTTTATGTGACAGACATATATCATCAACAGACGAAATGCAGATCTTTTAGAGTCTTCTTATCGGTCCTCCAGCGTATTCTAGACTCCTCACTCCCAATGCACAGTCTGAAGTATAATTCAGTCCATCACATTTAGGAATATCATCATGGGTTACTATTACCCAGCCTTTTCTTACTCCTGTATTCACTTCGAGCGCTTCGTTGAGTCTTCCATTATGATTTACCTGACACGTGGCATTGTCATGTAGCCAGGTGTTGAATAAGTTGGATGAAGATTTGCGTCCTTCCATAGTGTTGAAGTTTTTTCGAATTTCTTCACGATCAGTTTTATCGCAGGCCTTTACAGAGTCGATGAAATTGAAGTAGACATTTGACTGCTATTTCATGCCTTGTTGGATGGTGGTGCGTAGAATTGTAACTTGTTCCCCCTATGATTTGCTTTCCATGGAGCCAGCGTGTTCCGGTTGGATTTATATAATCAGTTTATCTTTTATACTCTACTTGGTGTAAAACAGAGCATGATTTTGCACTAATGCTTGTAGAGAAAGAGAGAGAGAGAGGCCTGATTTGCCCTTCTTTGGTGGCCTGGCAAGGTTGATTTTCTTCCAACTGCTTGGTACTCTTCCTTCCTTCCAAACTTCTAGCAGTACTGACATCAGCATATCTGTTGCGGCCTCTGGATAAACTTTCACTGCCTCAGGAAGAATCTCGTCTAGCCCTACTGCTATCTCAGACATCAGCAGCTTGATTGCATTCAAGACTTCTGATTTTCAAGTATTGGTTTGTAAAGATTTGGTTGATTGGTTACAGGATTTCATCATGAGCTGATATCGGTTAGAGAACCATTGGAAAACCAACTAGGAGTACTGGACAGCTGTTTCCTCCGTCCTACTTTGGGACTCTTCAGCAGTACTCATCCACCGGGGTTCGAACCCAAGACCTTCTGGTTACAAGGTTAGCGAGCTCGTAGACCATTAGGCCACTAGGACCCGATCCAATGGCCAGCGCATGAATTCTAACTTCTGCCAATTCACGGTATAGCACAACCGCAATCGAATGTCTTCGGCGAGTATTTGTCCTCACACCCGACCTCCTGTACCCTACTGGTCATGACTTCTCACTAGAACCAGAATGCCTTGGGTTCCATTCCCAGTGGTTGCGTAATGCTAAAGAGTCCCAAACTCGGACGAAACGGCTGTCCAGTACTCCTTGGCAGGTTTTCCAATGGTTCTCTAACCAATGTCAGCTCATGATGAAACTTCTGATTTTCTTGCAGGATACATGTCCACTGGCAGTTCTACGCCTGCTGTTGTTGTTGTTGGTGGTGGTGGTATTTCTAGATCACATATACATCAGGAACCAAAATAACTACTGAAAATGTTTTTTGCTCTAACCAAGAAAAGGCCAGAATAGAAAATAAGTACACTACACTACTCATCCGATTTCGCTAGTAGTATTTCACTCTTAATCCATTAAATATAAATGTCTTGAAAGAATTTACTATACTGATAGACACGCTAGAAAAAATATAAGTAGTGCCATTGTATAGTATTTCTATGTAAGCTATCATGGTAGAACTCAGCCTTTATTATCTTCTAATTGATGATGCTGTGATAGTACTAAGAATTCAGAAAATATGAGCCAAAATCCGTTGGTGGCACAGTGGTTAGGAAGCTCACTGACCATGCATATGGTCGGGGGTTGGATCCCCTGCCGACACACACACACACACACCCGATATCAGTGGTCAGCCTGTAAAATTGGGCTAACGATATCACATGCGATAAAAGTTCCATACTTGTACCAATAATATAATGTGGAGTCAAGCTATAATCAAAAAAGGAGTTCAACTTTTTATTGACACTTATACTACTCATGGTATGGTCTGAGTAGTACGTAAAGTCACGTTTCTGTTGGTGGAGAAGCCTCTAAAAAGTAACACACCTGAAGAAAAAGAAGAAGAAGATTACAACCATGAGGCAAAATCTAATTAACAAATGAAAACCACTATACAAAACACATCTAATACCTGAATGGATGAATAAAACTCATTTAAAAACAATATGATATCCAAAATTTAAGACAATTAGTTCCCTTTATGAATTTAGATAAAGTAATAAGAAGATGTAATTTGTCTGAATCGTGTTGTGTTGTATTTGTGCAACGCATTTTGAACAATCTGATCACTCTCCACGGACTTGTCATAGGAATATATACGTGTGAAATTAATAAAGAGTTAAAAGGTGAGAAAATTAAATAGACTTAGATCAATTTAAAAGGACGAATTGCTTAGTCGACGGCTTGATGGGTCACTAAAAAGATCTATTTATAGAAAACCTACCTGGACAGGACAGTATCTGAATTACCACAGTTTCGGCTCTATTCGGTACAAAAGAACCTCATGGAGTGAGGTGCCTTTTCAGTAGAATCCAACGAATATGCACTGAAGACACGCTTGTTGAAGAAGAAAGAAAGTTGACTCAAACTTTAGTTGGTAACAATTATCCAGACAAGTTCATCAGGAGATATATAAAGTAGTCAGAACACCAAGACCCACTCTACACCTCGCCCCTAAGAAAGATAAGTACATCAAGCTACCCTATATGGGGTGTCATAGCTTGACAACTTGACAAAGACTGAACGCTGCTGTTAAAAAGACTATCTATAGAGCAAACGTCATAATAACAGAGAATTTAAAGCCAATACATCTATCTAAGCCCTTCAAACATGTAAAAAATGATGTCACATCCCACTGTATTTACTAACTTCAATGTACGTGGGGACACACACATACATAGGGAGGAACCATCGATCTCTGCAAGTAAAAGCTGACTTCAGAGCATATTCCTAAATAGCTCCAGAAACAAATCGAATCTTCAAAATTCATTAAAAGTGAGAACAAGAGACCTAGCTCCTCTATTGCGAAACAGATTATAGAGACAGGACATAAAATTGAAGTTAACAGATCTTTTAAACCTATCCTAAAGTTTGTGGAAGCCCTAGCTAGCAATTAGAAAGTTCAAGGCACCTTTATGCGTTCAAAAACAATTCATCATCACATTAAACCTTCCTTGGTAAATTTTATTTTGATACCAAGGCAGATGTACTATTACCTCTGCTATTTGGTTTAGCGATCTTCAATGTTATTTTGACCTTCAATATGTCCTTTTAACTTGACCTAAGCCTATTTCCTCACCTCTTACCTCTTTATTAATTTCATACGCATATATTCCTATGACAAGTCCGTGGAGTGTGTTCAGATTGTTCGAAATGCACTGCGCAAATAAAACACAACACGATTCAGACAAATTACATCTTCTTATTACTTTATCTAAATATGAAATCCATTTTAAGAATTATGATTGATCTAAATGTCAATTGCATTTGAGCTTTTTGTTCTGTAAATAAATAAAAATACTACACATTCTACCTACATAAATCTTGTCCGCTTTGCCATAATAATAATCATTACTGGCGAGGATAAGAAAGCCAGAATCGGAAAAGCAAGACAGGCTTTCATTACCCTTAAGTCTGTGTGGAGATCAACAGCACTCAACATCAAAAATAATATCCGGATTTTCAACTCCAATGTGAAGTCAGTGCTACTTACTATACGGATCAGAGACTTGGCCACCGCGTCATAAAGACCATCTCAAACAGACTACAGACCTTCATCAACAGCTGCCTTCGCTCAGTACTCAAGATCAGACGGCCGGCCAGAAAAGATCAGCAACAGCGAGGGATCTCTTGGAGCAAACCAACCCACCAGGAACAGATTGTGCAACAAATATGCAGAAAGAAATGGAGATGGATTAGTTATACGCTGAGGAATCCATCAAGTGACATCACTAGACAAGCCATCACTCGAGTGGATCCCGAAGGGGAAGCGGCGAGTTGGTCGTCAGTGCGAGGGTGGGGTGACCTGGAGGAGGTCATGTGAAGAGGGGATGAGAGCGTGTGGGCAGACTTGGAGCGCGTAGAAACGTTGGCAGAGAACCGAACGCAATGGAGACGCGTGGCTGAAGCCCTATGTTCCTCTAGGAATTAAAGGATATAAAAATAATACTGTCTCGTGGGTGTATTTCAATTATGACTTTTAGTTAGTTGTTATGCACTGGTTTGGTTTTGTTGTTGTTGCTGCTGGTGTTGTCTTTCTGTTTTTTCCAGAGGAAGCTGCTTACTTAGTTGTGTAAATTTTTCACTTTTTTGTACTTACTGTTCTACTGTTATTTCCTGTGAGATAAGTTTATATGTAGAGTGAGTGAGTGATACAGTACTATCAATACTAACCGGATGACGTTTATTAGAGTACATACAGACTATTACTCAGTATAACTGTAATCTTTACATCGATCAGTATATTTATTCACATGCTTTCCTAACCCCTGCTTTACATAGACAACTTTAATCTCCCTCTCTCTCTGTCTCTCTCTTTCCAATTTTCCATGTATACATAACTTGTCTGACATCATTTCTAGGCAGTTGTAAAATGCATGTACTTGTATGTAATCATGCAGTTAGATGGGGGTGTGGATGAGAGGGAAATTGGGTTTGCGGTGAGATAGAGGGAAAGTGTATTAAAAGGCGATATTAATCAATTAATCAATCACTGAATCCATCTATCTATCTATCTGTCTATATATATATATATATATATATGTTTTATTGAATTAATATATACAATAAATGTAGTATTAGTAGTAGGGATGACGCAACAACTATACCAGATATATGAAAGAAAAGTTGTATTAGAAACTGTGTGAAACAAGTTACAAAGTTATGGGGGAATATACTAATATGAAATTATGAGCAATAAATTGTACTGGAAACATTTTTGTTGTTGTTGATTGAACACGAGTTGGTAAGTAGGATGACATGAGTGTGAGCCTAGAACCTAGAATGTTGAACACATTCCATTCAGGACTAGACGCATGATACTGGGTGCTAACTAGTCTCCAATACAGTCACCTACAGGAGGTGAGTCGTGAGTCCTAACAGCTCAGTGATTGCGTCTCTGAATGTAGCACTCTGGGTGAGGCGGTGACAGGGGGGGGTTGAATCTCAGATTGAGGTATAAACTGCTCCTTCAAGACTGCAGATATGCCTTGCTGACTGGTCATTGTCAATAAACATGGAACTTAGATGCGTAGCTTCCTGCTGATTGCCTCCAGCCATCGAATAACTGGAAACGCTATCCAGTTATTAATACACTGTGTCACTTAACATATATGTTATATCACATAAACTTATCTAGTATCAATCATTGAATTATATTCTACAGTACAGTGACCAAATCCTCCCTACTCTTACAACAGAAATGTTTCATATTATCATCATTATTATGTCCTTTAATTCCTAGGGGAACATAGGGCTTCAGCCACGCGTCTCCATTGCGTTCGGTTCTCTGCCAACGTTTCTACGCGCTCCAAGTCTGCCCACACGCTCTCATCCCCTCTTCACATGACCTCCTCCAGGTCACCCCACCCTCGCACTGACGACCAACTCGCCGCTTCCCCTTCGGGATCCACTCGAGTGATGGCTTGTCTAGTGATGTCACTTGATGGATTCCTCAGCGTATAACTAATCCATCTCCATTTCTTTCTGCATATTTGTTGCACAATCTGTTCCTGGTGGGTTGGTTTGCTCCAAGAGATCCCTCGCTGTTGCTGATCTTTTCTGGCCGGCCGTCTGATCTTGAGTACTGAGCGAAGGCAGCTGTTGATGAAGGTCTGTAGTCTGTTTGAGATGGTCTTTATGACGCGGTGGCCAAGTCTCTGATCCGTATAGTAAGTAGCACTGACTTCACATTGGAGTTGAAAATCCGGATATTATTTTTGATGTTGAGTGCTGTTGATCTCCACACAGACTTAAGGGTAATGAAAGCCTGTCTTGCTTTTCCGATTCTGGCTTTGATATCCTCATCAATTCAGCTCCGCCTGTAATTGAAACGATATTTCCCAGATAAGTAGGTAAATGGGGTTGTTTCTTTCAGGTTTCTCTCATTTATGCTGATTGTTGTATGTTGTTGTTGCTGTTGCTGTTTGCCAGGAATCTTCATCACCTCTGTTTTATCTATGTTCACATGAAGTCCTATCTTTGATGCTTCTTCTGCCAACTTGTTGCTTTTCACTTGCATATCTTCCAGTTTGTGGGAAATCAGACATATATCATCGGCGAAGTCCATATCCTTCAAGTTTTTTGTGTGAGTCCATTTTATGCCTGTTTCCTCATTGCCGGTTGTCTGTCGCATTATTCATTCTACTGCAATCACGAAGATCATTGGTGATAATAGACAGCCTTGCCTCACTCCCATCCTCACTTCGAAGGCTTCCGTAAGTTTCCCGTTGTGGATTACTTGGCATGCAGCATTGTCGTATAACTGTAGGATGAGATGTATAATTGTCGATTGGACCCCGTAGTAGCGAAGTAGTTGCCAAATCACCTCTCGATCGACGCTGCGCTGTCGAAGGTCTTTTCAAATTCGATGAAGTTGAGTGAGATGGAGAGGTGACTGCCATTCCAAGCTTTGTTCAATGATGATCCGTAATGTGGTGATTTGATCAATACATGACTTGTGTCTTCTGAATCCAGCTTGTTCCGGTCGAAGTTTTTCATCCAGGTTGGCTTGTTTGATTCTCTCGAGGATGATATGGCTTAGTATTTTGCTTGGGATGGACAGGAGCATAATTCCACGCCAGTTTTTGCATTGACTTAAGTCTCCTTTCTTTGGTAGTTTAATGTTTCATATGATTTTGTGTTTTCTTTTTAAATTTTATTTTTAACAGATTTTGAACTACTTCGATTACTTTTTCACATCAGTCTTCACGGTAGAAATCACCTTGAAGGTTAGTTAAATTGAGATCACAGAAAATGAGAATTCATTATGACATGTTTTTTTTATGATAACTATTCGGGTAAATAATAGTAGTTGAAAAAAACAACCAAAAGATGATTCAATTTTTGATATCAGTCTCATTTCATTTTTTATTGCTAAATCATTCAGGAGTAGACAATGGTAGAATATAACAGGAGACGACTCAATCCTATCGTAGAAGTTTCTATTCTTCAAGATAAATAAGCATTTCAGTGAACTTTATAAAATAATTTTGAGTATACCACAGCGTGGTTTTACTCTTCTAATTCATCATTTGCAAGTGGTACACTTCGAAGCAAGAAGTCAATATAGTTTCCCATGAAAAGCAAAAGAATTCAATTCCTAGACCTCGCACATAGTTGGCGAGTACTCATCCACTGAACCTCTGACACTAATCGAATCGAAAAAATCGAAACAAAGAATGACTGTTTCCTTCGTTTAAGCTTGGGCTCATTAACAGTGTATCCAGGCTGAGTCAACTCAGCCTAGCTCAACTAATCTGAGGTAATAAAATCACCTCAGAGACAACTCCAAAAGAATCTATACATCTGTACTGTCAAGTAGTTTCAAATGTGACTAAAGTACCTAAGTGGTATTTGAATTACCAGTAGGAATTTGTTCAACACATATTTCATTTACATCGCCAATTTAAACATGATATTTGAGATATTTAAAAATGCTGTAATTGTGACAAGTGTGTTTGTTTCTAATTGATTTCTTTACGTGACGTGAGAAACAATCTCACTCTATATCGCACTGTGATATCTAGATTATGTTTTGTAGTTCACTATTTTATTTGACACAGGTACTAACTTCTAAGTACTTCAAGTGGTAATAAGGCCATCATCAGGGTATCAATGTCTTTCATTTTTAAATGTTTCATTTGTTCACATCTATCTTGTTTTGCAAGACTACTGGCTAGGCGTTCCTTGGATAGAACGCTTTTATCTGCTGAGTCTGCATGCTTGCCTTGTATCCCTCATCTCTGTGTTTCTGATCAACTCATACACTACCGTAACTGTTCATAAATCCTCGGTTTTCTATTCTCATTTCGGATAAGAAAAAGGTATTCGGTAACAGATTTATTCATTAGATTGAATTATGGACTGGTCTTGTAACCTGAAGGCTATCGGTTCGATCTCTAGTGGAAGTCACTGGTACTCACTTCTGAAGGATACCAAACTCGGACGAAACAACCGTCCTGTGCTCATTGTTTTTCACTGGTTGTTTAGTTGAGATACTGATTTCTAACAGATGTTTACTTAGGCTCAAATTTTACTGTCTCTTCTCATTTGGATCTCCACATCTAAGCATCATTTTCGTGAGCAAACTGACAACTGTAACACATCTCATCACAAGACAGTCTTGTCGTAATATATAGAGACTAAAATACCAACGAAGAACTCTGGATAATCATAATATGCATATTACCATAGCGAAGATTGGCTTCGGCTTCATCACATTGGTATAGACGCAGATTATTCACCTATACACTCAAATTTCAGTAGGTTATCCTTGGATTCGAGTCCTCCAAAGGCTAATTCAGCCTAACCAACTGAATAGCTACATCAGACCTCACTTTAATAGTGTGGCTCCGAGCCCAAAATAAAACACAAATTTCAAATGACAACAACAACAACATCAGTGTCAAACTGAATCTTCATCTGTCGACTTTGACTGCTTCACACAAACCCACATCCATGCTAGAAACTTCAGGTACCCCGGTGGAGGCGTGCCGATGAGGAGTCCCAGACTACGGCGATGGAAACAGCTGTCCAATACTCCCCGGAAGGTTTTCCAATGGTTCTCTAACCGATGTCAACTCATGATGGAACCCTTTGACCTTCAGAAATTCTTAGGCTAAACTGAACTCATTTTTTCATAAATGTTTTACCTCCGTAGTATATTTGTAAAAATAATGCATTATTGTCTATAAGTGATTTTTCAACAAATTGTATGCTATAATATCTACATATATATATATATATATATATATTATAATCCTTCTCTGCTAGATAATTACCTATGGTTTGGTATTGCATAAGGGTGCATTTTGTCGAAGTGCAAATAATATGCTAGACTTTATGGTAGTCCTTACCTCGATTATCTCTTATCCAATTGAGTAAGTCATGTATTAAGTGTTGTGTATAATAACGCATAAATAGATACAATAGTAGAATGATAGAATAAAATAAGTGTTGTTACCTGTATGTACATAATTCTGTTGTCCATATCGTCTTAATTTCATGTTGTACTAATTTTTGATATCCATGTGTAGGTGTCTATGGTTGTGTGTGTGTGTGTGTACAGGTTTATGTAGACCACTAAGTCTGTTTAATAAGTTGGCTGTAGTGTAGTTTAACATTTTAGAAGGCATGATTCTGATTAGCTTCAAAGTGCGTCGATGGTACAGCGGTTAGAACTCTCGCCGACCACGCATATGGTCCGGGGTTCTAGCCCCCGCCGATGCACACCTGATATCTATGATCGGTCTGCAAAATTTGGGTTACTGATATCACCTGCTGAAAATTCCATACTTGTACCAAAACTACGGTGTGAAATCAAGCTATAACCAAATAAAAAATCAAATAAACAAAAAAAGGGGAAAGCTCATTAAAGTCTTTGAAGTGAAGACATGAGTAAGACAAGGCTGTCTAATATCATCAATAGTATTCCTGACCTTCATGGATTAGATCATACTACAGATAGTCTGAAACTGAAAGATACTGGACTGGGTAATCTAGACTTCCCAGGCGATTTATGCCTAATGTCATACAAAGTTGAAGGTGTACAGGCAGAAGAAGCAGCCAACACATAGGCAATCAATTGAACATAGACAAAACAAGGTGATGGACATACCAAACATCCAACAACCATAACATACATCAATCATCATCTGTAAGAAGTCACGTCTTTCTTCTACCTAGACAGCATGGTTTCCACATTAGGCAGCAGATGTTAGGCATTCATTATTCTGAAATTAGCGTAGAAACCTACACTGAATGCGCATGATGAGGACCAGGGCTCAGAGTTTTACCAGTAGTTTCAATTTCCATGCTTCTATTTAGTTCTGAGATTTGACTCTATACTGAAGGTTAGATGAATGGTCGGAAAGGGACAATCAAGGAATGCGGAACACTCTGGCAGTAAACTAGTCACTAGACTATTGTAAAATAAATGTCCAAACGGAAATGGAGATGTGTTGGACACACACACACACGCACGCACACACTGTGAAAAGCGTTTAACAAAATCACACTCCAGACTGTCAACTGCAACCCATATAGGGAAACGACAAGTTGGGCATGTGTAGCCAAGACTAACACTGAGGAGAGTGTTAATGGACAATCATACTGTCAGATAACGAAGCCTTCTGAGAACAGAGTGAAACGGAGATGTATCGTCGATTTTCTATGTTCCATTCTGAACTCAAAAGAATGGCTATTAACAATAATGATAATAATAAAAGTAATGATTCTGACCAGTGAATCTAAAGTACCTTTATTGAGCTTTCCTTTCATCCTATCTACACCTTGTATGCTTCACTTAGCCTTATCAGCATCCCTTTATGATATCAACAAAAATGGATTATGGCAATAATAAAAACAATAACAAGAATAATCGATTACACTAATAAATCATCTTTTATTGCCTGGAAAAATAAATTTCATGACATTAATTATCATTTCACGATTTGTCTATAATCACAATATCTCCAAGCATAATCATATGTAGCTTGAAAATTCCCATTCAGTCATAGAAAAGAAAAAGTGTTCAGCAAAGAGTTACTCTTTTCGGCGATATCATTCTCAAGCTGTACAAATCGCAAATTTATAGTAATTTGTCTTGGCAACAAAAGGAATATTTCCAAAGATGTGTTAATGCAATTGTTAGTTTTTGACAAACAAATTACGTAATTTTGAAGGCGTTAATCGGTTAGAAACTAAAATAAAGTTACAAAAGTAGGTTGGGTGACGTAATCTAATTGGTAGGGTTCAATGAAAAAATGAATGAGAGTCAAGTTAATAATCTGAGTAGAATTCACTTGAAAATGAATGAGAGTTAAGTTAATAAGCTGAGTAGAATTCACTTAAAAATAAACGAAAATCGAGTTAGCAACAGTCGTCATGAGCGTAGAGATTTAATAGAGGGTGGGGGTAGAAAATAATGCAATTAAGAAATAGACAAACAAAGAAGAAAGAGGTAAGACAAAATTACGTATTTGGTGTTAAGATAGATCAGGACCATTGTAGATTTAGTGACTGAACAAACTTCTTTTGTATGCAGAGTTCAGGATTCAATATGTGAATTGCCATTGCTTCTGCAGTTTGAAGAAGTTTAATTCGTACTCTTTTGGCAAGATTTCCACGTATTGTGTAGATAACTGAGAAGTTGTTTTGTGGGTTTGCTTGGTGTCCGGATTCGATCAAGTGTTCTAGGATAGAGCTGTGGCGGGGGGATCTTCTTTCTCCTTTATAAAACCATGAAGGTAAGTGTTCGCTGATTCGTTTGGATAGCAAACGCTGGGTACGGCCGACATACCTAGCTCCACATGAGCAGGTGAATTGGTAGATGCACATTGATGAGGCCCCCAGTGGAAGCTTATCCTTCACGTTCGTGCGAATCATTGGTTTCGTAGAGAAAGTTAGTCTGAGTTCCGCTGCGAAGAAGGTTTTCTTCAGTGAACGGCACAGGCGGTTTCTCAGTATTTCTGCTGAAGAATCTCCGTTGAATTGTAGATTCAAATAGAGAAGTTTCTTGGGAGCAGTAAGCATGGATGGTTTTTGTGTTTTCGGCTTCATAGCTTTTGTGATGAAACGTTCCGGGTAACCGTTTTCAAGAAGGATTCTTTTCAGGGTCTTCAGCTCTTCTTCTATAGTTTCCGGACTGCAAATGTTGTGGATTCTGTGAGTCAGTGAGCGGATCAGATTTCGTTTTGTATATATAGGCACCCAACTGTGAAAGCTGATGAGTTGTCCATTCCATGTCGGTTTTCTGTGAATGGATCTTTTGAGTGTCCCATCTTGTTCGCGTCTTGCTAGTTGCACGTCCAGAAAAGATATTGTTGCGTTGGACTCCTTCTCTAGTGTGAACTGGATTGCTGGATGGCAACTGTTGAAGAAGTCCAATATGTTCTCCAAATTTTCCTCATTATTGGCGATAATAAAAGTATCGTCCACGTATCTCTTGTAGAATCCGAAGTTATCTATTATCTTCTTTAGGTGTGTATTTTCTAGTTTTGACATGAAAATATCTGCAAGCAGCGGGCCGAGTGGTGAGCCCATAGCTATACCATCTTTTTGTCTATATATTTCATTATTGAAAGTGAATTGGACGTTTAGAGTACATCTTAATAGGAGTTCCTTCAAATAGTCAGTGGGGATACCAATGTTCATCTCCTTTGAATCAATATATTCACATATATAGCATATTGTTTCGGTTAGTGGGACGTTTGTAAACAGTGATACCACATCTAGTGAGAACATGGTTTGATTGGAAACGCTGACGTTTTCAATGGAATTGACAAAATCGAAGGAGTCTCGAAGTGAGTGGCGGGAGATTTGCTTTCTGACTGGTTCTAGTATGTTTACTAGCCATTGTGCGGTACTGTGATAAGGTGAATTAGTCATATCGAGAATGGGTCGAAGAGGTACGTTTTTCTTGTGCACTTTTGGTAGTCCATATAGCCGGGGTATATTTGAGCCCGACGGTTTCAACGATTCGAAGGTTTCGAGATCGATGAATGATTCAGTCTTTAGTTTTCGGAGAAGGTTCGTTAGTTTTTGTTCAGTTTGTTCCGTCATATTCTTTTCCTTTGCTGGTTTTATGAATTTAGATTCGTCGGATAGGATGGTCAGCATTTTACTTACGTAGTCTTCACGATTCATGACTACGATTCCCCCACATTTATCCGGGCGTAACAGAATAATCTCTTTGTTGTTTATTAATTCCTTGAGCTCTTTATAGTGTTTTTTGGTCAGACAAAAAGATGGTATAGCTATGGGCTCACCACTCGGCCCGCTGCTTGCAGATATTTTCATGTCAAAACTAGAAAATACACACCTAAAAAAGATAATAGATAACTTCGGATTCTACAAGAGATACGTGGACGATACTTTTATTATCGCCAATAATGAGGAAAATTTGGAGAACATATTGGACTTCTTCAACAGTTGCCATCCAGCAATCCAGTTCACACTAGAGAAGGAGTCCAACGCAACAATATCTTTTCTGGACGTGCAACTAGCAAGACGCGAACAAGATGGGACACTCAAAAGATCCATTCACAGAAAACCGACATGGAATGGACAACTCATCAGCTTTCACAGTTGGGTGCCTATATATACAAAACGAAATCTGATCCGCTCACTGACTCACAGAATCCACAACATTTGCAGTCCAGAAACTATAGAAGAAGAGCTGAAGACCCTGAAAAGAATCCTTCTTGAAAACGGTTACCCGGAACGTTTCATCACAAAAGCTATGAAGCCGAAAACACAAAAACCATCCATGCTTACTGCTCCCAAGAAACTTCTCTATTTGAATCTACAATTCAACGGAGATTCTTCAGCAGAAATACTGAGAAACCGCCTGTGCCGTTCACTGAAGAAAACCTTCTTCGCAGCGGAACTCAGACTAACTTTCTCTACGAAACCAATGATTCGCACGAACGTGAAGGATAAGCTTCCACTGGGGGCCTCATCAATGTGCATCTACCAATTCACCTGCTCATGTGGAGCTAGGTATGTCGGCCGTACCCAGCGTTTGCTATCCAAACGAATCAGCGAACACTTACCTTCATGGTTTTATAAAGGAGAAAGAAGATCCCCCCGCCACAGCTCTATCCTAGAACACTTGATCGAATCCGGACACCAAGCGAACCCACAAAACAACTTCTCAGTTATCTACACAATACGTGGAAATCTTGCCAAAAGAGTACGAATTAAACTTCTTCAAACTGCAGAAGCAATGGCAATTCACATATTGAATCCTGAACTCTGCATACAAAAGAAGTTTGTTCAGTCACTAAATCTACAATGGTCTTGATCTATCTTAACACCAAATACGTAATTTTGTCTTACCTCTTTCTTCTTTGTTTGTCTATTTCTTAATTGCATTATTTTCTACCCCCACCCTCTATTAAATCTCTACGCTCATGACGACTGTTGCTAACTCGATTTTCGTTTATTTTTAAGTGAATTCTACTCAGCTTATTAACTTAACTCTCATTCATTTTCAAGTGAATTCTACTCAGATTATTAACTTGACTCTCATTCATTTTTTCATTGAACCCTACCAATTAGATTACGTCACCCAACCTACTTTTGTAACTTTATTTTAGTTTCTAACCGATTAACGCCTTCAAAATTACGTAATTTGTTTGTCAAAAACTAACAATTGCATTAACACATCTTTGGAAATATTCCTTTTGTTGCCAAGACAAATTACTATAAATTTGCGATTTGTACAGCTTGAGAATGATATCGCCGAAAAGAGTAACTCTTTGCTGAACACTTTTTCTTTTCTATGACTGAATGGGAATTTTCAAGCTACTGAAACGTTGCAAGGACCCAGTGACGGTGAAGGAGCTGGACCGTTTCCTGCGTTACTCCGTCAAGCTTGCAGTAGCGAAGGCAGAGATTCAGTTCTTGAGAGAATGTTTAGATCGGCACGAATATCCAAAGATGTACTGGAAGTCCCTCAGACGAAACCACATCCATCCGAATACCAGAACGCTCAGGCGACACACACTAAACAACATTGACTCCATCCAATCACGTATCCCTGAACTAGAACGAAATGTTGACTTACGAGCTCACGCAGTTCACGATTTAGACCAAGAACTACGCCAATCGTTCGAAGAATATGTCGAAGAAGTTGCACAGAAACAATGTGAGAATGCCAAGTCAAACCTTATTAAAAGCCTGAAGCCGACGAGTGACCCTGAACGTCCATTCCCAAGCAATCCAGAAAAATACGTATTTAACCTGTCAAACATTGAGCTGTCAGAACTTCAACTAGAAGCACTGTCCCTCGGTCCAAAGTTCTGCACAAAACCATCAAAAATCCAAAAACTTCAATCCCAAGTCCAGTTCGAAAACCTGATAAACCAAACACATGATCTATCACCAACTTCCGAAGAGAACCTGCAACAGTTCAGGTCGGTAGTACTCGACAGTTGCCATAAATTTATGAATACCAAACCAAATGGAAAGTCAATACTGACCAAAAAACACTATAAAGAGCTCAAGGAATTAATAAACAACAAAGAGATTATTCTGTTACGCCCGGATAAAGGTGGGGGAATCGTAGTCATGAATCGTGAAGACTACGTAAGTAAAATGCTGACCATCCTATCCGACGAATCTAAATTCATAAAACCAGCAAAGGAAAAGAACATGACGGAACAAACTGAACAAAAACTAACGAACCTTCTCCGAAAACTAAAGACTGAATCATTCATCGATCTCGAAACCTTCGAATCGTTGAAACCGTCGGGCTCAAATATACCCCGGCTATATGGACTACCAAAAGTGCACAAGAAAAACGTACCTCTTCGACCCATTCTCGATATGACTAATTCACCTTATCACAGTACCGCACAATGGCTAGTAAACATACTAGAACCAGTCAGAAAGCAAATCTCCCGCCACTCACTTCGAGACTCCTTCGATTTTGTCAATTCCATTGAAAACGTCAGCGTTTCCAATCAAACCATGTTCTCACTAGATGTGGTATCACTGTTTACAAACGTCCCACTAACCGAAACAATATGCTATATATGTGAATATATTGATTCAAAGGAGATGAACATTGGTATCCCCACTGACTATTTGAAGGAACTCCTATTAAGATGTACTCTAAACGTCCAATTCACTTTCAATAATGAAATATATAGACAAAAAGATGGTATAGCTATGGGCTCACCACTCGGCCCGCTGCTTGCAGATATTTTCATGTCAAAACTAGAAAATACACACCTAAAGAAGATAATAGATAACTTCGGATTCTACAAGAGATACGTGGACGATACTTTTATTATCGCCAATAATGAGGAAAATTTGGAGAACATATTGGACTTCTTCAACAGTTGCCATCCAGCAATCCAGTTCACACTAGAGAAGGAGTCCAACGCAACAATATCTTTTCTGGACGTGCAACTAGCAAGACGCGAACAAGATGGGACACTCAAAAGATCCATTCACAGAAAACCGACATGGAATGGACAACTCATCAGCTTTCACAGTTGGGTGCCTATATATACAAAACGAAATCTGATCCGCTCACTGACTCACAGAATCCACAACATTTGCAGTCCGGAAACTATAGAAGAAGAGCTGAAGACCCTGAAAAGAATCCTTCTTGAAAACGGTTACCCGGAACGTTTCATCACAAAAGCTATGAAGCCGAAAACACAAAAACCATCCATGCTTACTGCTCCCAAGAAACTTCTCTATTTGAATCTACAATTCAACGGAGATTCTTCAGCAGAAATACTGAGAAACCGCCTGTGCCGTTCACTGAAGAAAACCTTCTTCGCAGCGGAACTCAGACTAACTTTCTCTACGAAACCAATGATTCGCACGAACGTGAAGGATAAGCTTCCACTGGGGGCCTCATCAATGTGCATCTACCAATTCACCTGCTCATGTGGAGCTAGGTATGTCGGCCGTACCCAGCGTTTGCTATCCAAACGAATCAGCGAACACTTACCTTCATGGTTTTATAAAGGAGAAAGAAGATCCCCCCGCCACAGCTCTATCCTAGAACACTTGATCGAATCCGGACACCAAGCAAACCCACAAAACAACTTCTCAGTTATCTACACAATACGTGGAAATCTTGCCAAAAGAGTACGAATTAAACTTCTTCAAACTGCAGAAGCAATGGCAATTCACATATTGAATCCTGAACTCTGCATACAAAAGAAGTTTGTTCAGTCACTAAATCTACAATGGTCTTGATCTATCTTAACACCAAATACGTAATTTTGTCTTACCTCTTTCTTCTTTGTTTGTCTATTTCTTAATTGCATTATTTTCTACCCCCACCTTCTATTAAATCTCTACGCTCATGACGACTGTTGCTAACTCGATTTTCGTTTATCTTTAAGTGAATTCTACTCAGCTTATTAACTTAACTCTCATTCATTTTCAAGTGAATTCTACTCAGATTATTAACTTACTCTCATTCATTTTTTCATTGAACCCTACCAATTAGATTACGTCACCCAACCTACTTTTGTAACTTTATTTTAGTTTCTAACCGATTAACGCCTTCAAAATTACGTAATTTGTTTGTCAAAAACTAACAATTGCATTAACACATCTTTGGAAATATTCCTTTTGTTGCCAAGACAAATTACTATAAATTTGCGATT